CGTGTCACACTTCTAACTAATTATACTCGCTCATTTTCTACGGCTAACTATGACTAAACAGCACGAATCTTCTTCCTACACCCTTCTTCGATGTTTCGGAGCGTTACCGATAGAAATACACTACAGATTGCTCTACAACTTGACCTTCGTGTGCATTCTCATTATGTAATATTATTACTTACGGCTGTCTTTCCATTCGCATTTCTATTCACACCAAACAACCCATGCAATCTATAAATGCGCACTCCTCCAGGAGATCAATTTATGCACCTGCTTATAATGTTAACCCCATCATCTCTTTTGCAACGGCCCTGTTTGTTATAACTTTCGTAGCAGCTCCTTATTGGGTCGGGCGTCATCTGCAGACAGAGGCATATATATGCCTATACATAGTAAAGTAATGCCAAACATATTATCTTAAACATTACCAGTATTTCCACACGCCTAATAATCATTCATAGTTCCACCAATAAAGAGTAGACCCACGAGTTATCCCTTACATGCCCCTGGAATTGCAGGACATGTCACAATGCATGAAATCGTACAGAACCTTCTTTGTTGTTCTTTACCCTTTAGTAAACGTTATAGGTCTGGTGTATAACTCAATGCACCTTGCACTTGCTAAGTAAATTTCAGTGCATTTCATTTAAATTATATATGCTGAATCACACGGCCACTCATGACATCATTTGTCACATGATATACACATTGTGTGACTGGGACGTGTTATTGTGTGCCTGTCTGAATTTAGCGATCACTCATGAGACACACTTCCAACGTCGCGCGGCAGAAAATTTTCGACCTTATCAACGTAAGCAGATAATTGATAAAAGACCACCATGAAGAAGGATCATGTCTGGTAATTTCAAAACGGATTTATAACACACGACCATCTAGCTGTTGAGCACTCCATCGCATTTGACCAAGTGGCTATCTATGATGATCAACTAAGACGACATATTTGTAAACGCGACAAAAGAATTACTGATCGGTTTGTAACTATCTCTTCGCACTTGCTATTGTGCTGTCAAACATTGCGTGGTCTCTAATTATAATTTACGTACTGTTGCGTAAGGCGACCCTCAAGAATTTTGGTCTGTCTCAAATCTTGCATGTACCCGCAAGCGAAAAAACATGTTAGTGACAGCGATATGAGCCGACATTATAGTTGTCGAAAATGGGAAATTGTGCTTTTTACGTTGAGAAGACCACTGCTTACTTCATTCTTGTAAAGCAAGACTATCAACATGTCATCCATTATCTGACCACACGATGAAGCTTCTGTTGCCAAAAAAATCTGTTCATAGTTCTTATTTCGGGTAGACATACCTAGCTACTGCTCTTTTGAGATTGTCCTATGAAGACGTGCGTCCGACCTGATGAACTTGTGCGCGTGAAGGGAAAACTGAAGACTAAATATATTTGTAGATGTTATTGACTGTCACTCATTCCTATCCTAACGGTGTTCTCTGTTCCCACTTAACGACCTTTTAGTGCTCAACGCAACACCATTCTGCTCCCATGTAACAACCTGATATGTCCGCGTCTCAGTTTCTTTGTACTTTGACTGGCTTTTGACATGCGTTCAAATTACAATATGTCCGGCCCATGTTTTTACCTACCTTCTAGATGTACTGGCCTATTGACCTAGTCAATTTGTCTCGGACCCTTCGTGTGGGTACAGTTGACAATGACATAAACGCTGGACTCATTTGACGCTTAACATACCGAAATTTGTAGCTGCTTTGTGTTTACGAATGAGCTATCTATCTGTACATCTAGTTGGATTTCTTTCGATGGGCCTTGCACGATACGCTAATATACGGCCGAAATGCGGTGCCACATTATCGAAACAAGTAAAAAATTATCAATCAAATTTTTTTACAACAAGGTTCAACCAATTGAGCTCATCATGCACAAATATTATCAATTACCTATTGAAAACTTAAAGCAAGGACACTCGCCCATCTACAGCCTGATTAATAATTGATATTGGCACATGTCATTGAGATGTAGTAAGGTTAATGTATAGATGAAACTTAGCGTATTGTATTCTTATGCTGAACTTGAATAAGGTGGTACTCAGTATTTTCTGCTAACATATTGAAATATGCCATCATGCCAACTAGCAATGCGCCGATCAATTATGAACGGACGCATGAGGTGGTGTGTTGACAGGTTAAATGATTGTTGATTGAAATATAGTCAAGGCAGACTTCACGAGATTGACCAGACAACGATGAAATAAGCTGAAACAGTTCTCAATCAACCGGAGACCACGTGTTCATAGTCTTTTTCAAAGCCACTGTTTCTGTCAAGCCTTCGAAGGCCCGACAGGTTCATTGCAAGACCTGTTGCAAGTTAATTGCTTCCTCGACTAATAGGATAATAAGTAATCAGGATCACCAGGTTGCACGAAGACATGAAAGTTGACAGATGAGACGAGAAGATACAGTCGCCGCATTGAACCTTTGGTTAATGATAAGACGGTCATACACGGACGACATGTAGGACCAGCACGAGGTATTGTGCGCGCTGGATGTACGCCAAGAACATCTTGACCAGGCCAAGTAACATTGCTCGTAAAGTACACGACGTTAAGTTTACAAACGACGGTTGTTGTTACTGGGTATTTCTTACTTTTACTTCCTACATCCTTTGCACAAGTGTAGACTACATGGTCTTACGTCTTACAACTATACATTACTTCCCCTGCGCGTACGTGTACGTGAAGTATCGAGCCATTTGCGAACACCGTTGTCAGTGTAGGTAGCGTTATACTGTCGCAGAATAATTGAGGTGTCCAGTTGCAACATGCATACCTATTTTTTCTAGTACTCATCGACCTACCTTTATTCCACTTGTGACTATTAGTATGTATTTAACTGCGACACGCCACGACACGTTACATGATCTCTGATAAAGTATTTGGTTAAAGGATCATGGAACGAAGATCAAAACGTGACATTTTACCTTTATCGACTATTTGATTAAACCTTACTGTTGACAGGCCATCTCGACCTCTCAGTTTAGTGACAATATATGTAATACCTTCACTTCACCCGTACAAGTTTTGCCGCTCCTCATGGTAGGTATTAGTGTGTCAAGGTGATAAAAAACTCAGTGGAAAATAGAACGATTCGTACCAACGCGACACTCAATTCGTTATACATCAAGGGGGGCGGAACAAGCTTACGTGTCGGGATCGTCCTGAGGATGGTCGATCTGTAGCACTTGCCATGGTGCGTGCATTTCTCGTACGAGGCAATGCAGTCTCGTTTCGAGGATCAGAAAGCTTATATCGATCTATAGAACTCGACAGTTTTTGTAGGATCGATTCGCCCGATCAGTAGGTGGAACGATGGAAGTGACGACTGGATAGATGTCACTCTTGTCTACTTGCTATCAACGGTGCTTATCGCATAAATCCGTATTTTCGAGCTTTGCGGCTTGTATTCCTTTGATGCGTATGACATAAATAAGCGATATATGGTACTCTGGGCAGAACGCATCTCAGCTAAATTCGGGTCCCATGGAGTGGTGGAATAATCGACCACATCACTCAGCTACTATTAATAGTTGCACTGCACACCGGTCAGCGAGACCGTTTTTCGGTATGCTGAATGTAAAACTCCCTATAGCATATCTCTACGTGGTTTATTGCAGTACAATCAGGTGTCGTACTGCTCCATTCTCTTCGAGAATCCTATGCCCTTTCAGTGTATAGTGCACCCTGGATGCAAATGAGAATTGTTGTAGCCCTCACTTCTTCACCACTTTTGGATTGTTTTTAATTTCGCGATAGCATTGGTGATAACTTTTGCATCCATGTAATTCACATATAGTAAAGCGATGAAGGAAACTTTTAGCCACATCGTCAATACCACACGACCGTCCTCAAGAGACGTCATTCATATGCAAAGATGACATAGTATAACGACAAACCTTGCTTGAGAGCCCGAAAGAAGGAGCTATGTATAAAAAACCGCCAAAAATTTTCGCAACCCGCTTTGAATCGGTTAGTCCGAATGTGCGGCATCACACGATACCGTACGACAAAGCGCTACCGTTAGCGATACTAGGATCGACCCCGAGGTAAAGAATCGCAACGACGGGCTTGTACTTCACCTCGCCGCTTTCGCTCTTTTTGGTTTGTCCTTACCACTACGTATAGAAGGCAATTACATAAAGAGCACAGCGAGTTGGCAATGCAAGATAAGCAACACCAATCGGGTGGTGTCTTGAATAATAACCGGTCGGCATCGTCCGTGAAGAGCGCTAAAGCATCTAATGTGTCATTACCAGTATCAATCAGCACTGACTGTTGCCAACGCCTAATCCATGTAGTGCTAGACTTAAACAACTTATGAGGTACTGGCAGCCGCCTATTTTACCCGTTAGCCCCACAAGTTGTACATTCCACTGACCCATGGAATCTCGATGATCGCATGATGACACAACTTTGGAGCGCAGAACCAGTGAACTGCGCATCGTCTGCCTTTTTCAATTCTCTTCTCGGTCGGAAAGTCGACAGCGTAAGTGACATGCAAGCATGTATAACCTTGCGTCACCAGTTCGCGAAGTAACTGCACCAGGAGCTTCAGCTGAAAAGCATCATGCGCGACATCGAACTGTACTAATGAATGCACAACTGGAGAGAAGCAAAAATATTCTGGCAAAGAAAAGTTTTGGTTGGTGTGCTGCATTAAAACTACTTCTGCTTGAGAAGCAAGTTACACTTACTCAGATCATTGCGTACTTTTCTGCCGTTTGTAAAATTGTCTGCGAATTGGGAAATCGCGGATAGACGTTATCGAACAGCTAGCGACAGCAGAGATAGAGTTGCAAACATTACAAGACCATCAACTTATGCAATTTTCATAGCTACTGTATTAAGAAGAAATGCAACGATGAAATGTAGAGCCGGCTCGTTCAACATGTGAGAGAATAGACTTAGACGTTCGAAGCAGAAGCGCGGATCCAAAGTGGAGCCTGCATGATCAGTATACCATATCAGGAGGAGGGGCTCGTTTCGCCGGACCAAAAGGCCAAGCAAAATACAAGGCTCTCTCGAAGCGTGAGTCACTCAGAGGCATGATCTGTCGTGTGCCCCATGGAGCAGAGTCGAGCGCGTGTTTGAGTTTTTCTGACAGCTGGTCCCACATAATCAGATCCTGGGACTGACCAGCCAACTGTGTGAGGCCGAGCTTGCGGAACGCCATAAATTTTCCCAATTCGATTTTGACACTCGACCCGTCCATATACTTGGCCTCAGGCGGGACTGCATCCTCGTGTGTCTTGTATGCTTGGTCCCACACCGACACTGCCTCAAGCTTCGGGTTTTCCAATGCAGGGTTATCGAGCCACACGACAACATGCTCCCAGTCGGAGCGAAAATCTTGACCAGTGTATGTCGGGAAGTTCCATACGTACATGATGGCCCATTTGTCTTGATACCAACAGCTGCGCCCGTAGATTTGAGACGCAGTCTCAGCCCCCTTGCATGTGCTATCAGAGGTGCCATTGATCTTCATACCGACAGTAGTCTCACCCTCTGCATTCACAGCAGGGAACGAGTGGCACCCCTCAGAAACGAGGATCTGAGGTTTGAATTTGACGGCCGCCTTCTCGGAGATAGATCTGGCCTCCGGCTGTGGAATATGCCGCACTTGATCGAGAGCTATCGACTTCTTCTCGTTCGGTTTCTTTTCGTCAGCAAAGACCACAGCTGCAGCGAGCAGAGCGCCATACAAGACGACGCCAGTCTTCATGTCAGCTTGACGTTGTGTCGTGGAGCGGACGAATTGCAGAATGAACGAGGAAGCAGCATAGTTGTAGGAATAGAAACAACGCACGACATTGCGAACTGATCGTAAGTAATACGGCGGTGCAGTCGGAGCGCCAGCACACCAAAAATTCAGCAGCATGTGCAACGTAAGGGATAGGCTAGACAGTTCAACCGGACGACATTCTTGTCGTCGAGGAAGCGTTTTATCGAGAAAGCAATTACCGGTAACGTTAGTAATGTGCGATGTGACGACTACGAAAGCGCCACCCGATGATACGTAATGCTTGAGTAGACCATATGTTGTCGAGTCAAAATATTTGATAGGTTTGGAGGTAGCAGAAGAGATTGCGAACAAAGGACCCGGCCATAGTTCCTTTTGCATTGAGCTAATCATGAGAACGACTGCCTTTTCTTTTCTTCGGACGCTGTTGAAAAGATGTTTAAGGAAGAATGCGAATTGTGAAACTCCTATTCCTAGTCGAAGCCTTCTACATTCCTCTTCCAACACTTTAATAATCGCCACATCGCACATTACTAGTGGCATAGAGCATGGAGGTAATCACCATATTGCGCATTGCTAGTGGTATATAGCATGGAAGTAATCGCCTGTGTAATCCCGACACTCCCACTCACCGCGAATTACTGGATATTTTTCGGTCCGATGCCGCTTGCCTGAAGCAGGTACTTGAGTCTTTTGTTCCCCAGAGCCTTGGTAAGCATTTCTGCTGGTTGGTCCACCGTCGACTCGTACTTGACTGTGGTGATGTTGCGTGTCACATTCTCTCGGATGAAGTGGTGACGGATTTCTACGTGCTTTGTCCTGGCATTATATCCTGCGTTGGTTGCAAGTCCGATCGCACCTTGGTTATCGTCCCAGATCCACGTCGCTCCCACTTGCTCATGACAACGGTCCTTGAGCATCGCGCGGACCCGTAGCACGTTTTAAGTACACAAGATTGAATCCATGTACTCCGCCTCTGTCGAGCTTAGGGTCAGGGTGCGTTGATACTTGGACTTAAACACAACGGGTGCGCCACCGATCATCACCATTGTCCCTGACACCGAGCGTCGATTGTCAACGTTGCTTCCCCAGTCCGCGTCCGTGTAAGCTGTAGCTTGTACTTTACTAACACTACCATCGTAAGTGATCCTGTATTTCTTCGTCATTTTGAGGTAGCAAAGTACACAAATCGCGACCTTCCAATGTTGCTGACCTAAATCCTCCAAGAAACGTGACACAGTGTGACGACATTTGCCATAGTGGAGCGCGTACATGTTGTGATGTATAGTAAGCAATTGATCAACGACATGTATGGCTTCGACTTCATGTCTTCTCGCTCAGCGTCTGTCGCTGGCGATTGCATCTTAGGTAGCTTCAATCCCGAATCACATGGGCTGACTACTGCCTTGGCGTCCTCTTGGTTGAATAGACTGACTTGGTCATTTATATATCGAGTCTGTCGAATCGTTAGTGTACTGACGTCTCAATCATGTTCGATCTCCGTGCCGAGAACAATTTTGACCTTGCCCAGATCCTTCATCTTGGACGAATGTTTAAGTGCTGTCTTCTCCTGCTGAATCTCTTTGTTGGTCTTATCAGCGATGATCATGTCGTCGACGTAGAGGCACACATAGACGCAGTTGTCACTATTTTTCTTGACGTAGACACACTGGTAAACTCCACTGCTTCGAAATCCGATCTGCAGAAATACCGCATGAATCGTCTTGTTCCATGCACGTGCAGCTTGCTAGAGACCGTAAATTACCTTATCCATCACCCACATCCTCTTCTCGGCGTTTGCTATGTCATTGGGTACTTCCATGAACACTTCTTCCTTGAAACTACTGTTCAGAAATGCCGTATCTGCATCCAGGTGTTCGGCCATGTATCTCTTCGCCACCATCACAGCCAGCACGACCCTGATCAGTCTTATGTTCGCCGCGGGCGAGTACGTCTCAATGATGTCGACACCGAACTTCTGCTTGAACCCTTTTATGACAAGTCGGGCCTTGTACCGAACCACACGTCCGTGCTCGTTCCGTTTCTTAGCAAATACTTATCTGCATCCGATTGGTCGGACTTCCTTTTTCTTCGGGATCAGCTTCTTGAACCGTTTTCCAAGTGAGCTTTGAGCCCAGCGCTCACATCCTTCATCCACTTATTGGCGTCGTCGCAGTTCATGGCTTGCTGATATGTTGTCGGTGCATCATCTGCATCACCAACCCATGTCACGTAGGCTAGTATAGCTTATGCAAGAAGACTATCTTCATCAACACGAGGTCGCTTGGGTGATGGCGGATGGAAGTGATTGTCATTGTCAGGATCGTCAATATCGCTATTTACCTTGTGCTCGTCATCCATGGTCTATCCACCACCAAGACAGAGATCTGGGTCTCTTGGACGTCGAGATCGTTCCTTTTCTGGCCTGAACACCATGTCGTCGTTTGCTGTCGATTATTGCATACGATGATGCGTCGTCAACTCTTTTTCTAATGACACAGGCTCATGTTCATCTTCCTGCATCTCGACGTCTTCAAATGGATACGTTCTTGACTCCATCGGTTGGTACTCCACAAGCAATTCCTTCTCAGGTTCAGGCTGAGACACTTTGTCGATATACTTGATCACATTGACGACTTCAGTGCTCTCCGCCATTGACGTGTTGTAAATTCCGTTCACCTCGCGTTCATCGAGCTTCACGAATCTCGAGATCCTGACCTTGTTCAGCTCCATATCATACACGCGATAGCACTTAATATTGTCCCCATAGCCTAGGAGCGTACAGTTAGACTTCTTTGGATCTAGCTTGGTGCGTTTAGCGTCTTCAATATGCGCATAATCCATCGATCCAAATACTCGCAAGTGGTCCAGTCGAGGCTTCGTCTTAAATCCGATCTCGTACGGAGTCGCGTCAGTTTGCGTACTGTTTGGTTAATCTGTTCCGGTTAATCAAGTACACTGCTGTTCTTATTGCCTCTACCCACCAGAAAGTAGACACGCTTTTGTAGTGCATCATGCTCCATGCCTTTTTCATGATCGTTCGATTCATCCGCTCAGCAACTCCATTTTGCTGAGGGCTATATGGCACAGTCTTTAGGCACAAAATATTGTTACGATGACAGATTCCGTCCAGAGCATTGTTTACAAACTCGGTGCCGTTGTCAGATCGTAGACACTAGATGGGCTCTCCCGACTGATGATCTGACATGGTTTTGCACCACCAAAACCTTCTTAGCACTTCGTTCTTCTTCTTGAAGAATTATACCACTACATACTCCGAGTACTCGTCAACGAAGGCGAGCACATACTTCGCGCCACCTTTTGCCTCCGTCTTCATTGGTCTCATTGCGTCTGTGTGTACAATCTCCAGCACACGGGACGTCTATGTATGCGAACAAGATGAAAATTGCGTCACCGTTCGCTTGCCCTTCAACCATCCAATGCAGAGCGCTTTATTCTTGAATCTGGTAGTTGTATACCAGTCGTCGCGCGCTGCGTTTTTGCACGCACGTCTTTTTGTTAGGTGATTCATGCGAGCGAGCGTGCCAAAGCTTCTACTCGCTATCGACTTCCGGATACGCGACATATTGCACCGTATCCTGTTGGCATTCTAGCATCTAGAGTTGGAACTTCAACTCACAAAGTGGAAGTACCATCAAGGCCCCAGATCCTCAGAACATTCCTAGAGTTATTTATGACACCTAAACGAGCGTCATGGTTTACTGCATGCAGATCAACAGAAGCACATATAACACTAAAATCATTCTGGGATAATCCCTCACGGAAATAACTCACGTTTTTCCTTACCATAGTCCTCTGCCAACTGGTTCTGAGCCCAAGACCTTTTCCCAGAGCTAAAAGGAGAAGGAAGTCATGGACCGGCCGGTCGGTGACGATGACGCACTCATGCCAGAGAGCCGTCTCGCACGATCCAGCCCTTCCACATCAGAGACTTTCCTCATGAGTGTCATATCAACGAGCTCCAACGACAATCCACTCGCTCTCTCAATCCCGACAGCATTGACTGAAGCAGCATCCCTGGTGATGGTCCAAGCGCGTCTACTACATGACGTCGAGCTCGCATCCGTCCCTCAGATACGACAGCTGCTAATAGACGCAACAAATGCTGTCATCGAGGCAAGCGCCATGATTGCGACCTTTCCACTCGAAGTGCAAGCCTCGATAGCCGATGATAACGCAGCCTCTGGAGAAGATGCCGCGTCAACGATCGTCACTGCAACCCCATGACAGGTCGGCTTACTCACACATCACAATCAGGAGCTACGCCATCTTCTGCAAACTGTCCACAACGAAGTCACAACAGTCCGCAATCAGCGAAATACACTTCTAGAGACAGCGACACAACTTGTCGAACAACGTTCCAAGCTGACGGAAGACCTTGCCAACTAGCGTACACACCGTAGAACATAGATTAACAGAAGAACCACATATATGACTGCGAAGCACGCAGTATTATCTGAACGCGCACGAGCACTTCAAGAGCAAGTTGAGCAAGTCGACAAACAGTGTGAGATGGCGATTAACAATTGCCGCGCAGAAACAAAGTCGCTATAGAACGTCTGCATCATGACATTACTTGGCTCACAAAGCGCCGTGACCGCCTTCAGGTCCGACCGATCGACACAGTTGTGGCCTTGAAAGATCAACAATGTGTTGGTCAAGCTGCTCGAGACTCGTTGGCCCGAGCGATTCGATCCGAACGAGAAGCTCTAGATCAGCTACGATGATCGATTAAGCACCATCGTGTAGCCCAAGACGTGGCGCTGCGTCGTATATCCGAGTCACAAAGGCTACAAAATGACGCAGAGACAATGTTATTACGCGAAACCGCTCGTGCCACTGCAGCCGAAGATCGGCTGGCTACCGACGCCGCAATTCGAACTTCTTTCGAGGACCAACTTCAGTCGCTACCTTTCAGTCACGACATGCTGTCACGAGAGTCATCTCTACCAACGTTATGC